AGAACCCGTCCAGAAGACCTATACATTTTTTTTTCTTTTTGTTTTATAGATATAGTTGAGATTTTACACAACTAATTTAGGCTTACAGTGAAACCAAACTAAAATAAATCATTATATATTTCAGTTAGCATGTGTAGATGCATTCATAATTTTTAAACTATTTAAATTTGGATTTGATAGTTTAATTTTATCCATAGAATGTTGAAGAACTGGATACAGTATTTACTTCACACTGTCACTTTAAATTAAGCTTGCTTCCAGTGCGCATGCGCAGACCGTGTTTAGTTCTTCCTCAGGTTGGAGGAAAACTAAACACTGTCTGCGCATGCGCAGACAGTGTTTAGTTTTCCTCCAACCTGAGGAAGAACAGTTTGGTGTCGCCGCGCTAGCAGTACGTAACTCTCCGTTGTGGTGATTTAATAATAGAAAGAAGACTTCCCCCCACCACACACGCTATTGTACGGAGGAGACAACACGAAACAACGCGGACAGTGAAAACTTCGCTTGAGGACGCTTAAACCACCGTGGGAGGCTGAGTAGTTGGGATCAACAACAGCTAAAGTGCTCAGTTGCCCTTCCCCTGTAAACCAAGGCAAGAATAGCGGTCCATCTCCCCTCATCACACCGCCGACCACATCCATGTTGACTGCGGCAGCCTGCTCGCACAGTCCGGGGGTCTACAGACGCCGAACCCTCTTTGTTCGTGTGAGGAAAGCTCCGCTTTAACCAGAGCACAAGCTTGTTTTAACGACCACCGTGGGTTTCAGTTTGCGTCCCATTTTTTCCCCATTTTTAACGCATTAAAATGGCTGCTGAAATAGGGGAAAAAATGTCTTAAATCGGTGCAATAACACATTCCCATCCGAAAACAAACCAGCTTGTAGTGGGCTACTTTTGTTTTCGGCTAACGAATCATGAATTAGCTAAAGAAGTTAGCTTTAATTGATGCTCGGATATCAGGAAGGTCCTTACGACAAGAGGTAGATTTCTCCCACTTCGTAAAGCTTTAGTAAACCTTATCAAACTATACATCCTAACCTTTTTTTTTTGTTTTACTTTTACTGGCTTTTTAAAAGCTTAGCTATTCCAGTATGCCAAACACTCGGTTAATATGGAGGACTTTGTTATAAAGGAAATCTAAGGGTTGCTCTTAGAGTCATCGGATCTCAAGGCCCGGGTCTCTTCCTCCGCTCCAAGGACTCTAGTAGCACCGACAGGATGGATCGTGGGGGGAAATGTAAAGCTAAACTATTTCTTTTCGGACCCAAACTGGCCGCCAGCGGCGACGATTCGAGGGAGATCAACAGATACCTGGTGGTGTACGTTTTGTTTTCCTTCGCGCTGTTGGCGCACGGCTCTCCGGCGAAGCCGTGCGACAAGAACTGCCTGTCGGGGAAATGCATCAACGGCTCCTGCGTCTGTGACCGAGGATGGGTGGGAGATCTGTGCCAGCACTGCCAGGGCAGGTTCAGGTAAGTGGCCCCGGAGTCCTCACCCCAGTGCTTCACTGCTGAACCCCGGCTAGGAAAATATCACAAAACAAAATAATGACTCGAGTCAATCAAAATGGGTCAGTGCCCCTGTAGGCACTGTTTTTGTTGTAACAGCTGTAACGTGTTATGCGAGGAAGTGTGAGGTTAGATTACACAAGGACAGCTTTTTTTTAATGCCCAAATATGTTGACACCATTTCAGATTACTGTACTCCTGCAGAAGATTTGACACCCCATCAGATGGTGGTTTTTCTCCACATTATTCATAACTACAAATATTTTGCCTGACAAATATTGTGATGCACAATGCAGTGTTTATTTAATTGAAAACAAACGTGTTACTTGTTTGTGAAACCGTATTTTACCCAAGTTTAAAAAAATAGCAACACAAACACACAATTTGTACTTGAAGATGTTTATTATTTTACTAGTTTTACTGCTGCATGTGAAGCCAGTTTTCTGTGACATTTCAGTTTCCTTTCACAACCACACAGTTTTCGCCACTCAAATGCATCAAATTAATTTGTAATAGCTACAAAAATCAAGATGCATAACAACATCATGCAAAAATAAAACAGAACTGTCCAAAAATAAGGACGATAACAGTGACAACGAAAACAAACTGTTAAGTTGCCAAATAAGTAGATTAAAGGAACGGTTTTATTTTATTATAATTTGTTAGTATAGATCATTATCTTGAGTTTGAGTCTAAAAATCCATAACGATCTTTAGTTTGTGTGTCCTGACAAAAAAATAAAATACAAGTGTTAATTACAGTGTMTCACAAAAGTGAGTACACCCCTCGCCTTTGTTGCCAGAGGTTTACACATGCTTGGRTGTTGAGTTATTTTGAGGGGACAGTAAATTTACTGTTATRCAAGCTATGCGCCGACTACTTTACATTGTGTCGAAGTGTCATCTTCAGTGTTGCTACATGAAAATATATAATAAAATATATACAAAATGTGAGGGGGTGTACTCACTTTCGTCAGATATTGTAGGCCGTTGCATTTTGTTTAATAGCTTCTTAAAGATGTCCTGATGCATCTCAGTAATCCAGGTAAAAAATCAAAAAGAAAAAAATTGTATAGGTCTTCTGGAYGGGTTCTTCTCTAATGAAACGTTTCGTCTCTCCTCCAAGAGACTTCTTCAGTCTGAGAGTTTCAGGCAAAATTCAGGCTTTTAAGCACTGCCTCCATGTGACTGATACTCACATCACATGGCTGTCGTTGACACCTAATTAACACCTGTTGTTAACAGGGGATCACATCAACTCTGTGGATGAATATATAAAGTTCACACGTACTTCACGTACGGGGGGCAATATTATAGGCAGAAACATGGGTGTGCCATGGGATCCCCAGTTTCTCCTATTGTTGCAAACCTGTACATGGAGGAAGTGGAAAAGAGAGCCTTGATGTCCTTTTCAGGGGTGCCACCGAGCCATTGGTTCAGATATGTTGACGACACCTGGGTTAAAATTAAAGCCCAGGAAGTCCAACATTTCACTGATCACATCAACTCTGTGGATGAATATATAAAGTTCACACGAGAGGATGTAAAAAATGGCAGGTTGGCGTTCCTGGATTGCGATGTCTCGGTTTCGGATGGAGGACTGTTGGAAACTGGCGTATATCGTAAGCCCACCCACACAGACCAATATTTGCGTTTTGACTCCCACCACCCACTGGAACACAARTTAGGAGTGATCAGAACTCTGTACCACGGAGCACACAGTGTCCCTACAAACCCAGGAGCCAGGCAGAAAGAGAAATCACACACACGACAGGCCCTGGAGCAGTGTGGTTATCCTGACTGGGCTTTCCTGAAAGCGGACAGGAAACACAGACAGGATTCCATGCAACCTTCAGGTGAAAATGAAGACCCCAAACCCAGACCCAAACCAGTGGTTATTCCGTATGTTGCGGGTGTTTCGGAGAAACTGAGACGTTTATTTTCTAAACATGATGTCCCAGTGGCTTTCAAACCCCAAAACACATTACGGCAAAGGCTGGTTCACCCCAAAGATCCGGTTCCCCGGCACAAACAGAGCAATGTTGTATATGCTGTTAAGTGCCAGGAGGACTGCGACCAGTTATACATCGGGGAAACAAAGCAGCCACTGTTCAAAACAATGTCCCAACACAGACGAGCTACATCTAATGGCCAGAACTCTGCAGTTTTCACTCATTTACAGGCCAGCGGTCACTCTTTCAGAGATGAGGATGTTCTCATTCTTGATAGAGAGKAACGTTGGTTTGAGAGAGCAGTAAAAGAAGACACTTTTGTGAAGAAAGACCGTCCATCATTAAACAGAGGTGCAGGCCTCCATTTTCATTTGTCCCCCTCCTACAGTGCTGCCATTGGCAGTATCACTCCACCCCCTGTTAACAATAGGTGTTAATTAGGTGTGAACGATAGCCATGTGATGTGAGTATCAGTCACATGGAGGCAGTGCTTAAAAGCCTGAATTTTGCCTGAAACTCTCAGACTGAAGAAGTCTCTTGGAGGAGAGACGAAACGTTTCATTAGAGAAAAACCCGTCCAGAAGACCTTCTTAAAGATAGCCTTATAAAGTAAATCACTTAGCTGATGTCGTTCTGTTACAGTATGTTAAAGTGGGTCTTGTGTTAGCTGTTGGGACGGTTTTGTTTGCTGCTCTGGTAAACTCTAGTTGCCAAAAGTTTTCATCATCACATACTAAATGTGTTTTCAATTTGACTGTCAGAATGACCTAATATCTAMTCTTTATTACCCTCGTTTTTCTTGTGCGTAGTTGGATTATGTATGCAACAGGAGAAAGGGATCAGTTTTTCAATCTGCACAAAAGCATATTTTCCAGACCAGTAACGCTCTTCTGTGTACTGGCTTATTGACTCTCCAGTCCCCCAGTATTTGCAAAGAATCTCTATAAAATCCCCAAACAAATAAATCACTTTTGCTTTCACGACAAGAGAAAGCCCACAGTAGATTTGAGAAAATGTTTCTAATCCATATGATTTAACTTAAACCCTTCTACTTGTGCAGTTAAAGCCTTATTTCTTTRAACGAGAAACATATTTTTACCACTAATTGAAAACTTGGATGTGAAGTACAAAATGTAAAGGTAAAAATACAAAAAATAAAATGGGACAAATAATACAATAACAGCAGTGTTTACTTTAATGCAAGCCTTTCAGTACATCTGAGTAGCACCCAATGGCCCAGAGGTAACTGGATCATAGTAACCATTGCTCAGTGTGCGTCTCAGGCTTGGTGCTGGTTGTCATCAGGCATGTTGTGGAATAACATCTCATCTCACCAGCAACAGACGAGCTGTTCAGCCATGATGGGGACTGAAACTTAAGCCCTTGGCACGTCTAAACCCTTGAAACTGAGCTCTTTTACACACAGCTGTGTGGCAATTCAATCTTTATTGACTTATTTATTGCGTGCAGCAGTGTGTTTATAGTGTAGTAGAGCACATGGACTCGGAGTTCACCGTGAAAAATTAATCCCTTTGAACAATCATAGACAATGTTCATTTGAGCGTCGTCTCTTTTCTCAGGGTTTATATCATAAGGATTCAGCTCTAAGATTATTAATCAACAAATGTCTTTTGTTATGTTTTTATCTTGAGGTCAAGAACTAATGTTGTCAGGTGCATACTTTGGATACTTTGGCAGCAACAATTTATCTTAAATTCATAAATGTGTGAGGTGAAAACAGTCACATAGRAATCAGGGACCCTGAAGATAAAAGGGACCCCTGCTTTTCTTGGATCAGCTTTTAGAGCTTGACAAGTATTTYTGTGATTCTCACAAAACTTGATGTAGAAGAACCATTTTGTCTTTGCTTTAATGCAGCTGACCCAAAACATAGTGAAACCTAAGAGATTTAGGCAAATCAGGAAATTCACAGTGTCATAAAAATATACCAGATGTGGGCGACTTGATACAGTAAAAATAGATTTGTTAAAATGCTTGCTATTCTGAGACACTCTGCGGTACTTCACTTGAAGAATACTTTTGATAAGAAATAAGAGAACCCTTTTCAGAGAAGCTTTGATTTAATCTAAAAATCTTTTTTTTAATCTATGCAACTGAATGCAAGCTATTCAAAGTTGCATAATAATTCTACTGACCATTCTTTAAAAGAAGCTACTGTTGCTATAACTTGATTTTTTTCCCCTTTTATAATTTTATGCTTAACAATTAATCTTCTCCATTTTGTGGTTTTACACTGTTTCCTTTATCACCCACATGTTTTAAAAATAAATTGCTGACAACAGTCGGCCTCACTGAGTAGGGCTTAATAGATTAAAGATGAGACAAAACTCATGACCGACTCTCGTTTATTTTTCACACAGTACTTAGATGTCAGGTAATAAGTTTGGCTCTTCAACCTGTGTTTGTCCAAAACAGACACAGCTTCCAGAATAGAAGTGACCTTTATCTTAATGGGTACAAATGAATCCAAACAATGCAATACCTTTTCATCATTACTGAGTCACCCGGACCAAGGGAGTGTTAACTTTTAAAACGTGTCATCTGTTTGTGCATGCCAGTTGAAGTAATCCTTTTTTTAAATTTTACTCTTTCAGATTGACAGAACCTTCTGGATACCTCACGGATGGTCCCATCAACTACAAGTACAAGACAAAGTGCACCTGGCTTATTGAAGCCTAGTAAGTACTTATGTACTAATATGTAAAAGATTCTATGGAGAGCAATGTTTTTGAAAGAATTGAAGAATTCTAATATTTTTTTTGGGGCTGGATTATGTTATATTATTATATATTTATATTACAGGCACAGCATATCTCCTAATTTTGGTCGTTATGATTTAATTTGATCAATGCATTTTCACCATCATCATGTGCAACTTGAGTTGCGTGAGACTATAAATAAATGATCAAATATGAAAATGGTATTAAATGATTACATGTTTAATACATGTAATACATTACATTATACTGTGAATATAATCCCTTTGAATAAGGGCTGCACAATATATCGAAAATTTATTGTCGTCGTGATAAATTTTACTTTTTTGCGATATGCAAATCGTGAAAAACTGCCTCAAAAGTTTGCTTTGATGAGTTTTGTCACTCAGGCTTAAAGGCACAGTGTGTAGGGTTTGTTGTTTTCATCGACATTTAGCAGTTGAGTGGTTGAGTCATCCTCCCTGGTCCTCCCCCCACCCCCACCCCCTCACTTCCAAACGCAAATGAGTTTCTACGGTGT